TATATATAATAGAACACCTTACATATAATAATTCTTATTACTTTTTTTTAATTACATATATCTCATATCGCATAATGTTGGAGCACCATGCCATGATTGGATCATTGTTTCATGATTCATAATAATCCAAGTAATATGATATTATAATATATAACTGTAAAGGTTATTTATACACATGACCAATGCACTTTAATGCAAAGTTACATATCTGTATTTAAATTTAAATACCTCTCCAGTCTTTGGTAAAATTCGACCACATCGCATTGACAAAACGTTGAACACTTGATCACTCACGCTATCATCTCCAGGTGGCCTAAAAGAAATGTTAATCACTAGAATGTCAAATTCTACTAAAATTTACAAATTAGGGAAACATAAATTGTGTAAAATTCCCTAAATCTTGAAAGTGGTATTGTTACCTAAACAATCTGTATTAGCTTCTAACACACAACACATCTAAACATTCATTTAATCCAAAATCTATTCATACAAAAATCCATTAATAAAACACATGTATACCACTCAATCAATAAAACATCACTAACAAGTTGTGTGTAGGCTAGTACATAGGAATAACTCTACCAGTAGCAGCCTAAAATATTAGCTTCAAAACTCTTACATCTCGTTTATCTGAATTCCAGCATCTGTGACATACCCTGAATCAAAACCCTGTTCCAACCTGAGCATTCTCCTCCACTGCAGCTTGTAGACAGGATTTAACCAACCTATGCAAAGTAAGAGGTGACATGAAAAATGTCAACCCTGTGTTATGTTAAACTATCCAGAAGTCCAACATCTTAAATCGTAATGATGAAAGCACCTACTATGAACACTTAAAATAATATAATAATTAAATAGCAAGCAGGATTATGCTAGCTTGCTATGAATGTAGATTTTACATTGGCATGCTATTACATAAAACAACATCCCTCTAGTGGAGTTTACATGGTAAAATTTATGATAACTAAACGAATGTGTAATTTTTAATAAGTTTTGTTGCATTAGTTCCTATGAGAGATATCTTTATATGTGCTTCGTCAAAATCAAATTAATTGCTACTAGTTCATACTGGCTTTGTTGACGTTATTACTGAATAAACAGCAATGGCTAGTAATGAAAACTCATGTGTTTACAGTAGCATACTTGTAGGAAATATTTTATCTTCCTCTATGACCTTCTCAGAGTTCAAATCGCTGATTATGTATGGCAACCTGATCAGTCTGAAGACCGGTAAATACTTGCACACATCTTCACTTTCTATGAAGCGTTTTTCTTTGCAATTTTCTGAAATCAGATAAATTGATTATGTGTACATATGCAGTTATAAAGAAACATGTATAGTATTGTCGGATGGTTGTCCCAATAAAAGTCTAGAATTTGTCAGTTTGTGCTGTTTTTTTCATTTTTATTTTCTCCATACCTGCATGCTTTCGGAAATACTCTTGTGAATCGGTCACGAGATCCGACTTGCTCTGCCCAGACCAGCTGGGGTTACACTGGAGGAATACCCACTGTAACAGATTACTTAATGGTTGGTTACACAGCTAGGTCAGCCATTATGTGCAGTTGTAGGTTGCTACCAGTTCGCATACCACACACAAGGAGTAATTCCAGCACAGACAGTATATATATATATATATATATAAATATATATATATATATATATATATATATATAAAATATATATATATATTCATATTTACATTCACACCCTTTCCATCTTATATTGTGAATATGTGATTATGGCATTAATATGCCAATAATTATGTTGATTATATAGGCATGCTCTGGGCATGCACATGATAACCCCTAAAAGTTGCTGTAGTCAAACGGCTTAAATATTTCTTCAGTAAAAGTGATACACATATATACAGTTATACAGTCAAAAATAATCCAGGTATATTAAATGTAAATGGGAAGAAAACTGGGTAACCAAATTTTTACCTTTTTCACCAGGTTATAGATATCCATCTCCACCTGCATCACAAACAAGTCAGGTGATGACAGCAGATCACACAGTTGCTTCTGGCTGCACACAAAAAACAGATAGATATCCTTGTAGATCAACGTAAATCTTACAGATTTATCCAGTAATCAAATAACTGGAATTTTTTAATCTTCAATTAACATAATTTTTTCAAAAAAAAACTAACAATAGAAACACGTTCTTGGTTATACTGCGATATTAATAATCAATACAACCATATGCTCTCGGAATTATTCAGGTAATTTCAAAATCTTTTCAAATACGATTATTTCTTTTCAGTGCTATTTTATCATAGTTTATAGTAGGACAGCTTGCACCCTATTGAATTAGATGTCAGATCAGGCCATACCTAAGGCTTTTAATTAACACAGGAGTCTGTATTGGCATGAGATTCTTTAGCAGCCATTTGAAGGTTTTGCCTGCGATGTCCTGCATTCCATAGAGGAGAGCTGCACTGTTATAGTATGCTGCCGTTTCATCACTGCAAATATAGAGCAGATATAATTACCCATATTCATCACAGAGCCTTTAAATGAGTAAACTAATAATTTGTCTAAGCCTTATTCACTAAACAATATCAAATTACGTATGAAATTAATAAAGTTAGCTGGGTAAATCTTATATAAATATGAAATCACACTTTAAAGAACATAATGTTTCACATAAAAATATTAAGTAGGTTAATGAAAATACCCATGCAAAAAACTCATAACACTTACTAAATAACATCCAGCATGATGCTTTGGCACTGTGCACACAGGTCAGGCTGAAATATAAAATGAAATTATTTATCAATATTAAAAGAATTTTCAATAGAAATATTAGCTAACAAATGTGCAAATTTACCTTTGGCATATGCTTACATCCTGTAATAAACATGAGTAGACATTCACATGGACGCATGAATGCATATGTACACAATAAATTATACTTACTCTTTCTGTTCAAAATACGTACACTCGATTCAGTGTAGCGAATACACGCATGCACGCACGCACGCACGCACGCACGCACGCACGCACGCACGCACGTACGCACCCACGCACGCACGCATGCACGCACGCACCCACATACGCACACACACATTCAAACATGCACACGCACACACAGACACACATTCAAACACAAGCCAAATCGATAGTAATGAAGATGCTTTAAACGATTATTGGACATACCAGTTGAAGCAGCAGTGCAGCAGCCAGCACAGAGGCCACCTGAGCCGGTGCCACTGCCACATGATCACTGTACAAGGATCCTAAAGCAATGTTCAGTGCTGCAATAACAATTCATTATTACATGTGTGACCAAATGCTAATCAATACTTGAGGAAATGACTGGGTCATATTTGAATCAATTTCTTGTACGAGACATATATCAAATTTGTTGAAAGTTATTTACCCAGAGCTAGGAGAAAAAATTAAGGTTGCTCACATTATGGCTGATAGGGTCTATGTCTCCCAGGGTACTGCCGGAACGTACCCTGGTACTAAATACTACTATCTAATATGCCGGACCGCACCTCGCCTACTCCACTAACGAGTCTAGGGAGTTGCCTACGCCTACTCCCTAACCCTAACTCTAACCCTAACCCTAACCCTAATGCTAACCATATCAGCTAGATAGTTACCAGGGTATGTTCCGGTATACCGGACCGTACCCAGGGTACGTTCCGGCAGTAACCTGGGGGACATAGACCCTATGAGCCACATTATGAAGCAGTAGGCATTATTTCAAGTGCATAATTTCAATCAATTGACCTTGTTTGCCTAATCGACATGCCTTAATTTGCAGCTGCATTTACTTTAGATAACCCCAACACAGTCATGCTGTGGGTTCATGTTGATAGACTGATCGAGTTTATAAATCTGGGTGTTGGGTCTGCTTACAACACGCGTAATTCACTCCAATTAGCAATCTGGAATGAATTGCCCGATTGTCAGACATGCCTACTGAAATTCCTGGGGAGAACCCTGTGCATGGACATGCACTCCAAATATGATGTACCTGAGCTATATTTCAAAGAAACCCATTCCATTTTTTCTACATAAAACCAATTTTATATACCTTTTGCATCGATATTAGGATCCGGAATGGTGAGGTGGATAACAGACTCGCCAGATTCCTTCCATTTTCCATGAAACATGCATTTGAAATAGTCAGACTAGAACAAAGAAGATTTGGCAGCATTTATAAATGAAATAGTCCTAGAAAGTAGAAACCAATGCTCATGAGATCACTGGATGTCTACACTACTGCAGGAGCTTAGCTAACCCATTTTTCCTGGGGGATAAAGCCACGTGCATGTTGTGTTCTGGGATGGTCACCGCTTTTCACCATGTATGCCTTGGTTACCTGTGCCTGGTTACCTGACCACTTAATATGATGTAACGGTGATAGAATGGTACACAATACGGTGACATAATGTCAGCACTCTGTGTCACTTGATTGGCATGCATTGTTGAAACATTTGCATGCACAACATTTGTTACATATAAAAATTCGAGGCAAAATTATGTCCTTCAGGCTTGACAGAAAAAGAAAACATTACATTTGGTTACAATTACTTACCTGACATAGGTAGGCTCTGTGGAGATTCCAAGTTTTTCCAAGGGCTTTAATACATACATCACTGTTTTCTTCATTTACAAAAAATGTCTGATAGATGTAATCTGATGTACTTTTAAGTCTTTTTCTGAAAACAAACCCAGCAAATATTATAACTCTAATTAAGTCTCTATAGACTATACAAAGCGGTTCTAATTCTAAGTTCCAATCTCTCGGAAGGACAAATTCATGACAAACCCTTTGCTAAGGACACTATATTGAATACAATTAATATACTATTATGTGCGTACATAGCTCTAGTGCGTACACAACCTGCTATTGCCGTATTGGTGAATCTTGGATCTTGAATCTTGAATCTTGGTGAATTACAATTCTTATTGCTTGTCAGTGTAGGCCTTAAGTTATGACGCACAGATTTATAAAATACATTTACATTATTACTATTTAGGCCTATATTATAATATAATTTACATTGAATAAATTTACATATGAAACATTTCAAAATGTTTACTCAACTTTATCGCAGGATTAGGAAGTAGAATTTATACTGAATATTACTTCAGTATGAACATATATGGTACATTAGTGACGATATAATAGATCGAGTACATTGAAATTGTTAGTGTTACTTCACTTTAGATTTTTAGAATGTGTTTACAGTGGATGTATGTATAATGTAGCTTACTTTTGAGGCGTATTTAGTATGTCGTTTGAGCTTGCATCGTCACTTTCACTACCTGATCGCTTTCTCTTTTGTGCCGTTGGCCTTGTGTTGTCGGTATATCTAAAAATTGCAGCATATAAACGTTGAAAAAACGTCATTATTGTGATAACATTTTTGTTCATTTTACGAAATCCATTTCATTCGTTCCCATCATCTACAAGTTTGTTTTTATACTTTACCGCCACCTATAATGCATTTTTAGAACTAATTTGAGTTTAAAACCATTTGCTAGACTGGTTTCATCACTGACTGACTGACCGCCATGTAGCCGACATTTCGGCTCACCCGTTTCAAATTTTCTCCTCTTCCTTATTTATTCGCCTTGTTGTTCATGAAGGGATAGCTAAAAATTTGAAGAAATAGGAAGAAGACTATGCACGCAAGGTGCCCGCTGCATAATACAGTCAGTACCAATACAATATATCTGGGTACACAATCTGGCTACGTTAGTGTGTTAGCGCATGACTCCATGAGCAATATCTCACCAGAGAGTCTGAGGAGTAATATTTTGTGATGCATATGCACTCAATATGGTTAGGGGGAATCTCAGCATACATTTCTGTAATAAATTGTAATCACTAGATCTGCGTTTATAATTGAGAGAGCGCCCTAGCCTGTAGGGTGGTAAACTCCTACTTCATCCCCTCCCGTCCTTCCCCTTGTCTCCCTTGCCCCTCGCTCAACCTCATTTTTCTTCTACCGCGGCGCCCCTCAGCTATCTTTCCTGCCGCCTTTCGTTACACCCTCTCTCTCCCTCAGCTAGCTATATTATCAGAAGTCGATATTAGGTAGTATAATCCCTATTATCTACTTCTGATATTATGCAGTATTCTTTAGTCCGCACTACGCGCCTGAAACGATACTCGCACATGCGCAATATCTCCTGAGAAGAAAAATATTTTGCGAATTTTATGCATCTAGAACGGTGAGTAGGTATTCTAACATAGATTTAAACATAGATTCTAACATAGATTTATATGATAATATTCCATCAGTAGACCTTTCTTAAGAAATAGGAAGAAGATCTCGCATGTAAGGTGCCCGCTGCATATATACAAGTCAGTACACAATCTGGCTACGTTATTGTGTTAGCGCATGCGCAATATCTTACCAGAGGAATAATATTTTGTGATGCATATGCATTTAATATGGTTATGGGGTATCTCAGCATACATTTCTGTTATAAATTTTAATCACTAGACCTGCGTTTATAATTGGGAGAGCGTCCTAGCCTCTAGGGGGGAAACTCCTACTTCATCCCCTCCCGTCCTTACCCTTGTCTCCCTTGTCCCTGGCCCAGCCTAATTTTCTACTACCGCCCCTCAGCTATCTTCCCTGTCGTCTTTCGTCACTCTCCCATCCTCTCTCTCTCAGCAAGCTATATTATGCAGTTTTCTTCAGTCCGCACTGCGCGCCTGAAACGGTACTCGCGCATGCGCAATATCTCCTGAGAAGAAGAATATTTTTTGAACATTATGCATTTAAAATGGAGAGTAGGTATTCTAGCACAGATTTATATAATAACATTTCATCACTAGACCGCTCTTAAGAAATAGGAAGAAGATCTCGCATGTAAGGTGCCCGCTGCATATATACAAGTCAGTACACAATCTGACTACGTTATTATGTTAGCGCATGCGCAATATCTCACCAGAGGAGTGATATTTTGTGATGCATATGCATTTAATATGGTTAGGGGGTATCTCAGCATACATTTCTGTTATAAATTTTAATCACTAGACCTGCGTTTATAATTGGGAGAGCGTCCTAGCCTGTAGGGGGGAAAACTCTTACTTCATCCCCTCCCGTCCTTCCCCTTGTCTCGATCCCTTGTCCTTCGCCCAGCCTAATTTTCTCCTACCGTCCCTCAGCTATCTTCCCTGTCGCCTTTCGTCACTCTCCCATCCTCCCTCTCAGCAAGCTATATTATGCAGTTTTCTTCAGTCCGCACTGCGCGCCTGAAACGGTGCTCGCGCATGCGCAATATCTCCCGAGAAGAAGAATATTTTGCAAAGATTATGAATTTAAAATGAAGAGGGGTTATCCTACCATAGCTTTATATAAGAAAATTGTATCAGTAGACCTCACTTCAGAAATCGGAAGCAGGCCTTGCATGTAAGGTCCCCACTGCATATACCATTCAATAAATAACATGGCTACGTTACTGTTTTAGCGCATGCGCAATATCTCACCAGAAGAGCTATATTTTGTGATGAAAATGCATTTAGTATGGTCAGGGGGTGTCTCAGGTTTATAATTGAGAGAGTGCCCTAGCCCGTAGGGTGGAAAACTCCTACTTTATCTCCTACCGCCTTTTCACTTGTCGCCCTTGTCCCTCGCTCAGCCTCATTTTTCTTTTACCACCCCTCAGCTATCTTCCCTGCCGCCTTTCGTCAGTCTCCCGCCCTCACTCTCTCAGCAGGCAATATTATGCAGGTTTCTTCAGTCCGCACTGCGCGCCTGCGCAATATCTTCCTAGAAGAAGAATATTTTGCAAAATTTATGAATTTAAAATGAAGAGGGGTTATCCTATTATAGATTTATATGAGAAAATTGTATCAGTAGACCTCATTTCAAAAATAGGAAGCAGACCTTGCATGTAAGGCCTCCGCTGCATATACCAAACAGTACATAACCTGGCTACGTTACTCTTTTAGCGCATGCGCAATATCTCACCAGAAGAGCTATATTTTGCGATTAAAATGAATTTAGTATGGTCAGGGGGTATCTCAGCATAGGTTTCTGTAATAAATTCTTATCCGTCGACCTATGTTTATAATTAGGAGAGCGCCCTAGCCTGTAGGGTGAAAAACTCCTATTTCAGCCACGCCCGCCCTTTCCCTTGTCTATGTTGTCGCACGCTCAGCCTCCTCCTTCTTCCACCGCCCGTCAGCTATCTTCGCTGCCGCGTTCCTTCAGTCGCACACCCCTCTCCAATTCGGCACGCTACATTAAGGGCCGGACACACTAGGCGATTAAATCGGGCGATAAAATCGGGCGACAAAATCGCCCGATTCTATCGCGCGAGTCGAGTGGACACTATTAAATCGCCGGTGAATAAGTCGTGCATGCATGTGCACGTAGACGTGCGTGCGTGCGTGTGTGTGCACGTACACCTGCGTG